CCCCAAAACCCCAAAACCCCAAAACCCCGTGAGAGCATGGATAGATGGAATTCAAAATAATATGAATTTCATTTATGATCAATTTAATCATTAATGGCGACGTTAATCTAAGTATATCATAAACATATCAAACTGATTCATCTTAAGATGCCTCCATGTTCACTCTGCTGTTCATCAAGTAGAAGTTAATCAATTCTAGCATTTCTTGGGAGGTATAGTCAAAATTTAAGCATGCTCTTTTACCCTTTATTGCTACTGCGTATAGGTCATAGGTCTTGGCTGCTTCAAGCTCTTCATTGAAAATTCCAATGTATTTCTTGACCCTATCCACAGTGATAAGTGCTTGCCAATGGGTATTGTTTTTGGAAACTCCAATGAATTTGGAACGCCTGTTCAAGTTAACATTGCTAGTATATCTCGTCTTTTTCAATGAATGATTGAAAGAAGATTCGCGATTATTGAGGATACGGCTACGAAGCCTGATAAGTTTCGCTCTGATATTAAGTCTCTTTGAACGTCTTCTTCTGTATTTGATTTCTTCAGTCTCCGTTTGAGTTTCATTAGTTTCATCACTTTGCATCAGTCAATGCTAAGTTTTTTTGGTGATGTGAATTGCCCTCTTGCTTTTTGGGGCACATTTGAGATTTACCAGGAGAAGCCTGGATTCTTATCATTGATTTACTAGATCTAAGTAGTGAGAATTAAGCTTTAATCAGCAATAAACTTTATTAATCAATGTTTAAAGTCTAAAATACTTACTTTTGGTGTAAGTCTTTTCCCTGAGATTCCGAAATCGATGGAATGTGTAAACCATGTAAACTGCAGACACGCTCACTGTTTAAATCTAAGTGTTGACCAAATGGGCAGCATCTCTTGGTCTGTTCTAGCTCTCTGAGTACACTTTCGTAGTCCCACATTGGATGGAGTATCAGAGTTCCATAAGCAAATGGGTTTTCAAAGTCCATATTTAATAAATAAATAAATTATTATTAAATCTTTATTTCTGATTTTTGTATTTGTAGGGTCCTAGTTAAAGCCTTAAGTCTTATGTAAGTTTTAAGAATAATTTTTTTTACCACAAAAGAAAGCATTTGTCATTATTATGAACATTTTTAATAGTTTTATTTATTTGAAGCCAACTTGACGATTTCCTTCGGATTCTAAAGCTAGTATCACTTCGCCAATTTATTTTTAAGTTAATAGTTTAGCTTTCAGGATTGTGATAGAATTTTTGAATGAAGGATGAGGACAACTCTTGGCTATTATTAATATTACTTTAAATTTGCGTTTAGAATTGAATTGTACTTTATTTTTCCCTATTAATAGCCTTATTTATTTCATAAAATCTGAGTCATTTCTGGTAGGAACTCTTGCTACAATAAGACAAACTCATATTGGAAGCTAAATATCTGTAAACCAAAAGAGTATGGATCTTTCTTCATATACATTTTTGTGCTAAAATATCAATAAAGAGTTAGCGAAGTTTTCAGATTTTAAGTAGAAAAGATTTTTGGTTATAAATTTTTGAGAATTAGATGAAGAATCTTGAAATATCTATCAAAATTTAGCAATAACAGTAATTAGCAAGGTATAAAAAGACATATGCATGGATGGCATTATAGTCATTAGCTGTAAAGGCCTCAATCCTATTCTAAATCCTTTAGTGAATTTCTCCTTCAACCTTAATTTTAGGAATAATTTTCTTGGTATTAAAAATCTTGGAAGCATAAGAAATAACTGTTTATCAATATTTTAATTCTTCAGAATTGAGAGACTCATTTAGATTTAGATAGAGTATTTACCATAATATTTTATTAATTATAAAGCTCTTGGGACTTTATTTGAGACTCACCAATTTTATATGTCTTTGAAAGAGCTTCTAATGGTTAGTTTTAAACCTAATTTCTGGTTTACCTTAAAATAGATGAAAATGTAGCATTTCACCGCTAAAACTCATTCCTTCCAAAATGTCTGGCTTTACCCTTAGAGACACAGATTTTTGCAAAATAAACAGGTAATTTTCATAAAACCATATCTCTCATTTAACGCCAAATATAAATAAGCCAATGAATCGTAAAAACTACTATCAAGAATTTCATCGCTAAAACTTTCTCTTTCTCTAATAGATCATAACACTCTTCAAATCTGTCAAGCCTAGTCTAATTTCACATCAAATGCTTACAAAATACTCTCAATGTATTCAAAAAGTCTCCTACCAAATACAGCACTGACATTATCCAAATTTGCTTCAATATTCTTAAAATAGATATTAACAAGACTCAATTTCATTGATACAAAAAACTCAAAGTGGTTAAAAACAGGCCTAAATCTCTTAACCACCTTGCCAATCTAGTTGGGTTTCATCAGAAATATGCCTCACGATATGATAGTTTGATGAAGTCTTAGTTTTTAATACTACATAACCAGTAATTATATCACCAGATACCAAGCAGCCAACACTATCCCAGATGGCTCTAGATCCATCCACCACTTCTAACCTCCATAACCCCCAGAATTCCCTTCTAAATCTTCCCAACCCCATCACCCATAATCTCTCCTAAACCCATATAATCCCTCTCCCCCTCACCCCCCAATCTCCACTTCCATCCCCTACCAAATTCCCCTCAGCCTCTTCATCCCCACTTCTCTCCCTAATAGCGCCACGGTCTCTTCTTCTACCTAAAATTGTCTGTTTAGGCTTTGAGTAGAATAGCTTCGGTGGAAGGAACAGAGGATGGTGGGTTCAGAGAGGGTGTAGGGGGAGGAGAGAAGGATGGGTAGGGGGATTTGGGGGGGAGTCTTGTAAAGGGGGTTTTGTGGGAGATTTGGGGATATTTGGAGGGGCATGATTGTTTCAGTATGGAAAATATTATATGGGGTTTTGGGGTTTTGGGGTTTTGGGG